AGGGCCCTCTTGATGTTGCTCGCCACACTGATCGCAGCGTGGTTTGTTCGAGCAGTAGTCCGATGTATGACCAAGTTGTTTACATTTCGAGCAGTTCATTACCCGAGGTACAAACAGGCGTACAGGCAGCCGAACCTTGCCAATAGCGACGTAGTGAGGTAACGCTGAACCCGAAAACGTCACACGAAACGAGTTTGACAAGGAATAAGTTTTTTTGGAGCCTACGATGGATACTGACTGCATTTGAAGGCAGTCCAATATCTTCACCTTCGGCAGAGCACGGTTTTTAAAGATTCCGAAGGAATCGGGACCCAAGAAATCATCACTAGTCAAACTCGCTTCGGTGACCACTCCTTCAATTTCTACCTCACTACTGGGTATGTAGACTCGGTATTCCAATGAAAAAAGCTCGCACGCAACAATTTGGTTAGCCTGCTTCCGGTCATCAACGGTAACGCGCAGTTTTATTGGTGTTACCTTGAAAATATCGGTAACGGCCGAAAAATGTGTTGTTAGATCCTTAGAGATCCTCGGAATGTTCAAAGGTTTTTGTTTGGGCCGGAAAAAAACAACCCATGGGCCTTTCGAGGCTTCTGGGTAAGCCTTTAGGCGGGGGAGCGCAGAGGTTTTTGGGGGCAATGGTGTGGGGGGGTGCAGGTGGACGAGGAGGAGATGGTGGGGGAGAGGGTTGTGGGCGATACCTTTTCTTGGGATATGCTCCAGTATTTTTGCTGGAGAGCGAGTCAACTGGAACGTCAAGGGTTTCCATTTCCACAACTTCCTCGAGACTTTCGTGTGAGGTGGAATTAAGAGTTTCGTCATCTGAGATGGAAAGCGACCATCCCCCGCCTTTATCATTTTCATCCATTGCGGTTAAATATCGCCGCAATGGTGTTTTTTGTAAAAATTTTTACAAATAATTGCAGTAATTTCAAATAATATCAAAAATAGAAAAAAATATATATATATATAGTTTCACTCTACTAACGAGTAATACATGCAAAGAAAAAAAAATAAAAAAAAAAATAAAAAAAAAATAATGATTATATACTATTTACAGAGTTTTGGATCACCCTAAGTAATACAAAAATAATAATAAAAAAAAAATCAAGAAAAAAAAAATCAAGCGAAAAAAAATTGGATTTTTGGATCACCCTAATTAAACACCAATCTAATATTGGACCAGGGAAACAAGGAAGATGCTATACTGGCGAGAACAATACAAACGACACGATTTATACCTAACGCACTGAGGCGGCAGCAGACTGGAGAGATATAATTGTTTGATCCAACGGCTGCAGAGTCAATAACCTCGATGCTGGTGTGCCTCGGTCGACTCGGTAGGCAATATGACGCTCTTTCGTTGTTGCTATCGATGGGGTGATGTACCGATAGTGGTGATGATTTTGCTGATGATGTTGCGATGATGCTGGGTTAAAGCTGGACCGTAATGAAAGCACTCGGCATATCATTAACGGCTTCCTCACTCGCGCACTAGTCGTCTAAACACTATGCCAATTAACTTTGGCGAGAAAAAACCCTCGCGTGGGGAAAAACTCAAAACTCAAATGATAGTGTCGTACAACGAGACCGATGCGACTTGATCGGCTCAGCGTGCGTGACAGAATGAGCAGGGTTGTTCTCGTTAGTGATTGTTGGTCACATTTTTTTCTGTCGAATTTATTACATACATACATACACACACACACATGTCGTTAAATGGGATTCGAACCATGACCTTCCGATCACCAGCCGCTTGCCTTGCCATCTGAGCTATCCTAGAATACATCATATGAGCAGCTATATAAGCAATAAAAGCTTGAATCTGAAAACCTATCAGCACATCCAGCCGTAACTCTAGCTAATTCAAGGAGATGTGAGAATGATTAATTCATTCATAGTTGTTTAACATTAGACCAACGTTACCTCTCCATCCCTCTAATTTCGATGGAAAGGACGCTATTCTTTTCTATAGATCTATGAATTGGTTGTCGTGAGTGATACGATTTATGATTACGATTTAAATTAATTAGGAGTAGAACATAAATAAAAAAAAAAAGGGTTGATGCTGGGATTAAACTCGCGACCTTCTACTTGGAAAGCGGAAACGGTAACTTACTATGCTACCAATTTCGTTTTGTTATTAGTCTGAAGCACTATTGTGGAATAATGAATGAATACGCCGTTTGTAAAGCATGCAATTAAAACATGGACGCATAGTGGTATAAGAGCTATTATTCTGACTGTATTCACCTTTATTCAGCAATATTGTTAAGCAATGCAATGGAATCTAGTAATGGAGCTAGAAAACAATTATTAGACGTATAATAAAGCATGTTATTAAATCAATTGAAACAGTCGGATTAAAGCGTCAATGTATGTGAAAATTACACTTATTCAGTATGTAGCCCTTTACTCGCTACCCGAAGAACGCCCACGCAAACCAACAGCATCGTCATGAAGGGGAAAATTTCCCCTACCCGATGTTGCTGTTGTGTCGCGTGGGTGTACTTCAAGTAGTGAGTAAAGGGCCCACAAACCATTTGTTTACAAATGGCTTTTGTGCCGTTTTCAAATGTTAGCACTGATTAGATCAAACTTCTGGTGTTGAATCAGGAAGACAGTCATCGTTTGTATAGATTTTAATAAGTATATTAATCAAATCAGAGCAATCAGCGGAATAAAGGCGCATCATCGATCTCAATGAGGTTTTCTGAGCACATAATTTGACAACCCGTTTTATTCAGCATTGTACCATAGAGGTAACTCTAAGACCACTGGGTCCCGAAGAAAATCATTATTATTTTTGGCTCACTCAGTACCAGAACAACGGTCCCAAGCAGTCCCAAGCTATTTCACTCACCCCTGCATGTTCTGCATGAATCCACACACCCCTGATGTTATCTGTCAAACTTTCATAGCGAATCAAAACAAACATAGTGTAGTAATAGAATTTCAACTAGAATAGGGTACGTTAATCGTTTGCTTGGGACCAATAGGCTACTAAAGTGGTGAGCCAATTTAAAATCGTTAGTTTCGTATTGATTGTTGATTGTACACTGTTATAAAGCATTTATTCAATCTATATGCTTATTTGTGACTCTGAATTGTTTTGGGCAGTGTTGTGGAATAATGAATCTAATACGTCGTTTATAAAGCATTTACAAAGCATTCAACTAAAACATGGACGCATAGTAGTATAAGAGCTATTTTGCTGACTGTATTCACCTTTATACAGCAATATTGTAAAGTAATGCAATGAAATCTAATAATGGAGCTAGAAAACATTTATAAGACGTCTAATAAAGCATTTTATTAAAGCAATTGAAAACAGTCGAATTAAAGCGACAATGTATGTGAAAATTACACTTATTCAGTTTGTTATTAGATCAAACTTCTGGTTCTGAATCAGAAAGACAGTCAACGTTTATAAAGCTTTTAATAAGTAAATTAATCATATCAGAGCAAACGGCGGAATAAAGGCGCATCTATCGATCTCAATGAGCTTTTTTCAGCACATAATTCGACAACTTGTTTTATTCAGCATTGTACCAACAATCAATACGAAACTAACGATTTTAAATTGGCTCACCACTTTAGTAGCCTATTGGTCCCAAGCAAACGATTAACGTACCCTATTCTAGTTGAAATTCTATTACTACACTATGTTTGTTTTGATTCGCTATGAAAGTTTGACAGATAAAATGAGGGGTTAGTGGATTTTCCTATGTTTTGAGGGGTGAATCGATTAGCTTGGGCCGAAGAGAGTACCAGAGCTGAGCCAAAAAGTTGAGCACGTTTCTTTGGGACCTTCTAGTCTTAGAGTTACCTCTATGATAGTACCAGAGCTGAGCCAAAAATTTGAGCGCGTTTCTTCATAACCTTCTGGTCTTAGAGTTACCTCTATGACCATACCTTCCGAGAAAATCGGCGGATTTTTTTTGTCCGACACCTCGGACAAATCACCTCCACTGCTCCGTCCTCCAGCGTCATCCTTAGTGGATATTGCTTCGTCGACTGTAATGTCGTGTTCCTCGCAAATTCGTTGCTCCAACTTTATGTCGACGACTTTCACGAACGAAACAGCGAGGGCTCAGGCACAAACGAAGTGACAGGCTCGAAAACTTTGGTGACGAACCTGCTATTGCAAATTTTTCAGGGTACCACGTCCAAATGTCTGTCTATCTCTTTCACACTACTCAAAACTGAAATGCATAAAAAATGACAAAATGATACACTCTTTGCACACTGTCAAAGATTATTGCATAAAAAATCAACTTTATTCAAATCAAAACAAGAATACTATCCCATCTGGTAGCTGGTAGCTGATGGCACAAGCTTTTAAGAAAATTCTACTATATTCTATAATAGCGAACTACATTATTTTAATTGATTTCTTCGCTAGTCTGCGAAAGTCATATTCCTAATTGATTTTTTGTAGCCTACTTTTTTCTAGTGAAGTACCTGAGTTTTTATCTTTATCTTCAAGTCTTTTTTTTGTAATTAACAATTATATTTGATATTTTTGCCTGAAAATCAGACCTCTTTTGTCAAACGCGCGCCATTTTGTCAAAAAGCAATGTTTTTAAATCGGTCAGGTACTTCACTAGTTTAAACATTCTAGATTATGTAACTTTTATCCATTTTGTTCTAGGACTACCTCCGGCTGCAAATCGTTTCCGCCCGGAAACCGCTTCCAGCCATCACTTAGATGACTGGAGCGCCACCTAGCTGCAAATTTCAAAAACTAAAATTTGGGAAAATATTTTCAATAAAATGCTGCAAACCGCATTCTTTAAAGGTGTTTCTGTTCGCCAAAAAATCTTGAAATGGACCCTTTTTTCGGCTTCTACACGGTAACCTCCACTCTCGTAACCTATACTCACCAAAACATGTACCACAGACACGTCATTGTCTGTGCATGTGGTATGAACCGTCCCTTCGGAAGTATAAATCAAATCACAGTTTTGTTCATGATAGGCATTTTTTACTGTACCATATTTAAAACAATACATTTAAAAAATATCCGCATTGGCGCTGCATCAGTGCTGCTTGTCTTTGCGGAATTTCTGTTTCTTTCCGAAACCAGCTTGCTTAGCCTTCTTCTTCTTGTAGGAATTTTCACTATCAGCAAACGATAGATCTTTGCCTTCTCCGAGACGTTTCTCTCCGCTAGATAAAATAAAATACATTTTTCAATTACATCGCATATGTGTATCGCAAACATTTACCTCTTAATTGACACGATGGTAGACTTATGTTTTACCAATGTGTTTTTCCACTCTTCGTCCGTTCCCTTGATAACATATTGCTCCAGGTTCTCTTTTTTCAATAGGGCAAGTTCTTTCTTTTGTTTCTTTTCGAGCTTTTGGACATCCTCCGAAAGATCATCGTTGATAGATCTATCAAGTGCCAACAGATTTTCTCCCGTATTCAATGCATTCTCGCTCACCATTGTACTCTCAATGGTTCGTTCCAGTACGGAATCGATGTACTTCGTTAGTTTCTTCATACAATCGTAAAACTTTGCAAGCACTTGATTGTTTGGCATGTTGAATTCCTCAGACAGGCGCTCTATTGTTTTGTGCTGTAGGCCCGTCCCCAGAAGTATCGCCTTCTGGAGTGAATCAATTTGGGCACTGGCCATTTTGGATTGGAAATAGAGAAGAGCCAAGTCCGATGTTAGGTCCATGATCAACTTGTATTCAACCTGGTTTCGGGAGTACATCTCCAGCCGTTGTATGTCGTGTGGAAGCAAGTACTCATCGATTGTTTTTTTAGTTAATTCTGAAAAAAATATAACAGTTTTGGATCAAATGAAAATTCTGCTAACAAGTCGTTAGTTGCATCATCTTACCTTGTCCTTCGATTTTGATTGCACGATTATCGAGCAGTGATAGGGACATGCCTGTGTTGAATTTATTGAATGCTTTTCCCAGAAGCTTCAGGATACGTCTACGGAAGTCGATGAAATATTCCTTCAACCAATCATTGGTTTCAAATTTGTCCAGACTAGTGCTGATAGGCGATAGCATAATGCAAGAATGTTCCCCCGTTAGGTCATTTTCCTTTTGGCTTAAATATACTGGAACAAATTTTTGACTCTTCCAGAATCGTAGTAAATCGTTTGTCAAACCGAATGATGTTCCCAGATAATCAAGATGCTCAGGTCTACGTTCGGACAAGCGCTTGAGCAGTGTGGGAACCTTTTTTCGAGGCTCAATAACTTCTTTCAACAAACCTACATCTTCGTCGTCAATTGTCTGGATTCCGTTGTCCTGATCCTCATCGCCTTCCAGATCATTCGATAAGGATGTAAAATTTCCTTCATAATAATTTTTCAGCTGTTTCAATGCTCTTTTGCCGTATCCCATCTAGAGAAGTGTAAGTATTTGAGAAAATTTCCCCTTTATGCTGCGAAATTATACGACAATACAATAAGCATTCAACCTACCCGTTGATAATTTGGATGCGTAGCTATGCGCACAATTCTAGCACCGCTCAACTTGGGAAACTGTTGATCGCCATACTGTTCAGCTATGTTCCAAGGAATCAAATCACCGGCACTCTTCATCCCACGGGCCAAGGAATTCTGAACCGACTGCGCCGATATCTGTCCTTCCAAGCAAACCTGAATGACTACGAGTATCTCCGGAAGCTGATCTTTCTTAGTAATCGGCCCAAGCAGACAGAACAGATGATGTGCCGGAGCATCACTCATCATTTGCAAATCGTTGGGGCTGTTTTTGTAGTGCGATGAAACGCAAATGCAAACCACACGTTGTAGGAATGCTTCCGCTGCACGGTGATACGAGAACAAAGCGTCACGATCGATGTAGTATAACTCACAAGCGTCCGGTGTAGGGCAACCGGAGTTGAGATTTGGGACAACCGTAGCGTCAAGACAGAGCAGAGCTGTTAGCCAAGATTCAACGGCATCATGCGGACTGTAACGAATGGATTCTTCCAGTTTTATCTGCAAAAGGAAAATATTCCGAATGCTGTATGTTAACATATTATACGAATTCTTACCGGTGGAGGAGCATTATTGTCCTTCTGGATCTGTGACAGCAATTTCAAGCTTAATGAACGACCGGTACCTTCATAACCGTTGATAGTAGAAGCCATGAAAACCAGATACGGCCCAAGCATAGCTTTTACTAGAGGAAGCGGAATGGCTGCTGCTTCATCGATGATCAACAAATCAGCAGCATTTAACAAATGTGCATCAGATGGAGAAATGTACTGAATTGTTTGGCGGTTGTTTCGGGTAACGTTTATGCGGATGATGGCCTTGTTGAAATCTGGATTAGTAGATCTGATTATGGTATAATCCGTGTGCTCCTGGTATTCCAGAACGTCAAACCCTTTCATAATAAACTCAAACAGTGTTACTAAATTTTCTGGCGACGGCGAGGTAACGTAAACGTTTACGTATCCAAAAGCTATGGCGGCGGAAATTGCCAAGCCCATGGCGGCTGATTTACCACGGCCTCTGCCAGCGGTCAACGATGTCGGTGGTTTGAGTTGTTTCTCAGCAAGAGCATCTATAAACTGAGCTACAGCTTTTGCTTGATCATGCGTTTTGCAGAGGTTTACGAGCGGGCCTGCTGGAGGAGCATCAGAAAGGCTCTCCTTCAGTTCTTCAAGCATTTCATCATTGGCACTTTTCCGCACCGCGCTGACTTCGACGGGCTTGACCTCGGCAGTTTTCGAAGACAGCGGTAGCACAGTCAAATCATCATTTACCAACAAACAACGTGAACAGTCGGCTAACGAAAGAATCAAACGTTCATTGAAACGACACGTAAGATCTTGATGAGCTTCCGTTCGATATCGCTTGTGTACATCCATGCTCATCGTATAAAGTTGCTTCAAGGAATTGATGGTTTTCAGCAGTAGAATGATCAATCCACCTCCCTCTACTGTCTCGATCGTTCTAGCTAATAGATTCGGAGTCAATGCTTCAAAGTCCTGCAATACGCAGACCCCATAGGTTTTACCAAGAATCGTATGCGAGTCCTTATAATACCTGCCGTGAATTGTCGTCGACACCCGAAAAGTGTCGAACAAGTCCGACTCATTGATATCAATCTTACCGGCTTGGATTTTCTTCGCACGCTTCTTTCCGTGACTGTGGTAGATAAAGGAAATGGTAAGAATTAGGTATTCACCAAGTGAAATGGAAAGTTGCTGCAATTCTTACTTGGATATAGCTTCGTCCTTATTTTTATAACACCACAGCACTGTAGGTCGTGCCTTAACCGATGTTTTTGTCAGCATGTCGTACAAAATAGGCACTTGATCCCGCCCCTTATCACCGACCACAACAAACATCGACCGATGGCCCAGCTTCACACCGTTTTCTATCATCACACGGATCCGGTTGTCTATCTTTTTCTTGACCATTTTGACTGTGGAGAGTTATAATTTCGACCGAACTGAGTTTGCGATTTCACGTGTTATCCGAACCGAACAGTACCAAGTGTGGCCAATGTAAGAGCAAAACAAAACAATGCGGTTGCGGTCTTTTGATTTGACAGCTCTATCACCACACACAGGGTGTTCGTGAAGATGTGCCGGTTTTGTTTTCAACACCCCCACCCCCTAGTGAGTAGCACGCCACTGGCACACGTGCGTTGTTGTGTTTTGTCGGTTCTTTCCGTTCTTTCGGTTCTGTCGCGGAGGATGTCGATCGGCAAATAACAGTAAACAGCGTATCGGGCGATGGGCGATAGTCATTCTTTCATAATATTATTGCACTCACAAGTCATTCGAGGTTAATTTAAATCAAGATGTGCGGAATATTTTGTTTTGTGTCCAGGACCAATTCGGTACAATTAGGACAATCTGTAGTAAGTATTTTCCACTTCGATTGCCATAGAATATTTTCGTTCCATATAATAAGCACTTTTTTTTAGTTACTACAGTGTCAATGTTTACTGGACAACAGAGGTCCCGATTTTGCCGGGCAACTCAATTACGACCAGCGCGTTCTGATGTATAGTTCCGTTCTGTGGCAACAGGGTTATGAGATCACCCGTCAACCGATTGAAACCGATCGATTCGCCTTACTATTCAATGGAGATTTGTTCGTCGATCGAGACAATCTAGCGGAAAGCGATACGCGGTGGTTATTGGATAGAATTGAATCAATGGTTACAAATTTGGACGAATTGGGTGAACTATTCAAACAGTTGAAAGGGCCATTCAGTCTAGTACTGTTGGATAAACAACTCCAAAGAGTATACTTTGCTCGCGACAGTATTGGTAGGAATTCCCTTCTGCTAGGTCAGTCAGATGATGGAATCATCATATCTAGTGTTATAGGTGAGACCATTTGCTTAAAACTGTTGTTAAATATTTTATTAAAAAAAATCCGTTAAAGCTAACGCATCTGCGATGGATGTAATTGAGCTCCCACCGAATGGAATTTATTTCATAAATTTGGATACTAACGAATTGAATCTACTACCTTGGAACCATAACGACAATATGAAATTTGATTCGTTAGGCATCAATAATAGTGTTTTAGAACTTCCATGGTTCAGCAGTAATCATACTCAGGTAATATACCTACTTAATATGAAAATATAACCCAATCTTTAAAAAATGCTTTTTACAGACCTCTTTCAACTACCATCATATTCTAAAAGACTTTGCTTCAACGGAAAACGACACCTTTGATCACCTACTGAACAATCCTATTGTTTCAAATTTATGTGTCCATTTGTTGGAAGTCCTATCTCAATCGGTTCGTGAACGAATTCTCAACACACCTGACTATTGCAAACAGTGCGTCACATCGCAAACTGCGTGTCAACACCCTAAGGTTGGAATTCTTTTCTCCGGTGGAATTGACTGTACCATTATTGCACTGCTAGCCGATCGTTTTGTTCCTGCGGATATGCCTATATGTCTTCTCAATGTAGCGTTTGAAAAAATTATTCGACCTGGAAATCCCAAGTTCAAGAAGAAACTGACTACGGATAGTGCGACGGCAGAAATTGATTGGGACGTACCTGATCGGATAACTGGGCGCAGTTCTTTGAGCGAACTACGACAACTGAAACCTCATCGGTAAAAGGATACTAGGTAACGCCTTACCGATCAATCTTATATACTTTTCTAACTCCAATTTCAGTCAATGGCATTTCGTCGAAATAAATGTGACCCGCAAGGAACTCCAAAACCATAAGGAGCGAATATCAAACTTAGTATTTCCTCTTAAATCCGTATTGGATGAATCTTTAGGAGCGGCTTTATGGTTTGCATCACGTGGCGAAGGAACATTTAATGATAACGAATATAAAAGCGCTTGTAGGGTAAGCTTACCATATCAGCACATATCAACATAAAATCAGATTAATCGTTTAACTAAACTTCCGTTTAAAGATTCTGCTGCTAGGATCTGGAGCAGATGAACTGTTTGGCGGATATTCACGACATCGGGCTGCATTCTACCGTAATATCAAGTCAAAGAATGTACAGACAAGCGATAGCGAAATAAATTCGGCCTTCGACAACTTACTGTCCGAACTAGATTTGGATTGTAGACGGCTGCCGAGTAGAAACCTAGCAAGAGACGACCGAATTATTTGCGACCATGGGGTTACACCGAGGACACCGTATCTCCAGGAGGATTTTATTTCGGTTGTACAAAGCTTGAAGGCTTCTCAAAGATGTTACCATCCACTGGGCGAAGGCATTGGTGACAAACTTACACTGCGGTTGTGTGGCTATTCATTGGGTTTAAAACTAACCGCTAAACTCCGCAAGCGTGCGCTGCAATTTGGGTCCCGAATAGCGGATAGAAAGCAAAATGCCAATGATAACTCTAATTTTCTTGGTTCTTGATAACAAGGGACATAAAACATGTGATATTTAAATAAATATTTGCACCCGTTCGTTCCTTTCGCCTATATATTTATGTTTCCAGTTAAAATCACAAGCATCATACCTACCTTCACTCCGGTCATCTCATAATCATCTGACGTTTACTGCAACGGTTGTTCTAGATCCTGAATCTGAAAATACAACAGACAAAATAAATTTATACAAAATCACAACACAAAACGCGTTCCCCTTACCTCCATCTCCTTCTCTACTATCTGACTCAACAAGCTGTCCAAATTGTCCTGCAAACGCTGCCGCAGGGTTTGATTCTCGATGGTCCGAATTTCCTGCTCCTTCTGAATTCTTTGTGATTTTAACTCGCTCAGCTGGCGACGCAGTTCATACATACGGCTACTTAGTGAATCTGATTTGGAAGAAGTCATAAACTCAGTCGACTCATTGTCCGAATCCAGCCGGGAATTATCTTCGTATTTGGATCCCAGCAGCGTTTCAGCTCTCCTAGACCGAGAACCACCGATGTTGCTGAACATGCCCTTACTAAACTCGGTTGCAGCGTTCCTATCAGAAGATTGAGTTCCCATGTAGGAGCTAGAATCAGACAACCGGCTATCATCTGCTTCCGCAGAAAGGCGGCTGCTCTCGTCAATGTCGATACTCTTGTTGATCGGATTCTCATCTTCATCCGAGTCCGAAACTTCCTCTCCAAATATATCATGCTCTCCAACGTCTTTATTGGCGCCGCCTTTTTTGTTGCTTTTAGACGGACTTTTATTAGGACCGTCATGTTTTGAATCAGAGATGGATTTATTTGGATCTTCATCCTCAGTAATGAGTTCCCATTTAACGTTCACTGCTTCATTGTCCACGCGAAGTAAACGTTTAACCTCTTTTTCGATTTCAGGTGCCTCCACAAACTTTTTCTTCAATGTTTTACGGAAGCGACGCTTGCGAACATTTTTGCAAGGTGGAGTTATACCGTGTGGCCACAGATACTTTTTGTCGACCTTATTGGGATCCTTCTTTTTGTTTTTGTTCGGAGATTCCTCTTCAGCAGAAGGCAAATCAGGTTCCTCTTTACAGATCATCTAAGCACAGACAAACAAATAAATACTGTAAACATAATCTAAAAACAAGGACAGCATTACTCACCAACTGACACAAATCAGCAGTTTTATAAAAGTTCTTGTTATCGATGGTCTTGAGGCTTTCCACAACAGTCGGCAGGTCAACCACTTTTGCATGTAACAGCCAGTGATCGAAGCGAACCTCGCCATAGCGTAAATCATTGTCGAGGCGAATAGAAAGCCTGTCCTTAAGATTGTTTGCACCAGTTTGTATTGCTTCCCTTAATAATTTTGACGGTTCCTGTTTAGGTGAAATTATATTAATTATTATTAGCTTTTACTTCCATTCAAATCTAACCAGGCAAAAATTCGCTTACCAAGGGCATACGCATAATGAATTGGGTTTCCAGTTCCACCTCATCCCGCTTGGGTTCGGACTTGACAGGTTTTTCAGGCATTGTTTGGAGTACTTAACAATCACTTCGAGTGAAGAGTAGCGTTAAAAAATACACTAGTAGGTATCTACTGTTGCTTATGTCGAAAAATCTTAAATCATTAAAAATTGAGCTTGAAAAATCGGAAAAATTTTGTGCACCCCGCATCAAGAGATCCGATGACACTGCACACGGCGACTGAGAACACCCTAAATTTGAGTTTAGTTCACTCATAATCGCCAAAAGTGCAGGAATTTAACGATGATTAAATTTGCCTCATGTTTTTCTGAGGAAAACCTCAAAAATCTACCGGAAAGTGAGGAAATGACGAAAATTTTACTCAGTAGGAGTAGTAACAATAGACTGAGTGAATCCAATCTTTACTTTTCTCATAATCGGGAATTTTCCTGAAAAAAAACCTGGGAAAACATTAGGCAAATGTACTTATTGCTGAGTTCCTGCACTTTGTGATTAAGGGTTAACTAAACTCAGATTTGGGTGTTCTCATTCGCCGTACAGCATGTATTTTCAAGGCAATACAAAACATGAAAGGTGGTCCGAAAATGTTTTCACCTGACCCTGACCCCAGTGAAAAATAAAATACACGGTAACCTCTCCCCCTTGCAAGGTGACTACATATAGGTGTTCTACACTCAAAAAATATTGAAATCTAAATAGTATAAACAACCGGTGGAAACTAACGATCTAAAATTGATTCACAATGGTTATGGTTATGGTCTGGGAGGGAGAAACAGACTCGGAAAATGTGAATGTCAAGTGAAGCCAGAAATGAGCTGTCACAAACTGTCAGTGGGAGCCAGCAGTACAAAACATCAATCAATGGGAAGTATTGATATCGAATACAAAATATTTTCTTGCTTGAAAACAATTTGCACTGCAAAATTTTCGTTTCTTCAGTTCAGGAATCGGTATGTAATTTAGCTAAATTGTAGTGTATCAAGCATGTTATATCGTAAATTTGATAGTTTTCGAAAATGGAGGGGGTTGTAGAGATATTCAGGTACGGTTACTCTAAATTTTCGGGTTCGTGTCGGGTACGAGTATACGAAGAAAATATTTTTGAGTTCGGATCGGGTAAGGGGTATATTTGGGTACGGGTAGCATCGAGGGGCACGCAAAAACTTCAACTCCGGCACAGGAAGTAGCCGTTATTAAATTAATTCCATTAATTACAGTGGTCAGGTCGGGTTCGGGTTCTTGAAATTTTTATGAATTGGGTACGGGTTTGGTTTGGGTATTCAAATGTCTATATCTGACCATCTTTATGGGATTGTTTGTTAATGTGATGTACTGTTATTGGTAAATAAAGGAAATGCTTAAAATATTCACACATTTATTCATCATTTCATAACAGTTGGTAACAACAAAATTTCAGCTCAAATCAACTCAACATACTTCGGCTATCAACGGGACGGGATTTATACAAGTCCAACAACCGATCGCTCTCTTCCGGTTCGTCTTCAGGAGGTAGCAAGAAAGCTTCAATCGACGGAACGACATCTTTTTTTTCGTTTTCTTCCCATTTTTATCGACGCGGAAGTAGTCCTCTAAGAAATGGGCCTGCAAATAATTAAAAAAGATCATAGCAACATTGATAAAATGCAAAACACTTGTACCGTCAACACATACGCTACAGACTCGCGAGCTTGGTTTAATTTCGCCGGTTCCGGAATCCATCCGACAGAACTTAATCCATTGGGATCTTGTGATATAATCAGTAGGAAAGCGCAAAAAACCCAATCCAGGATAATTTCTGCTGTTCCGGCCGCAGTGTTTCACCTGACACTTCATTTTGGCTGATTCACTACGAGTCTCTACAAGTGATTTTTCAACTCCAACTTTCCACAAGCATTAAGTCATCCGACGGTAACACGTAAACAACAGAGACACGGAAAACCGAAACCCCTCATTATGGGAACAAATTACTTGATAATTTTTATTTGCCAAGAATTTTCTTGCGCAATATTGTGATTGATTTATTTGATTTTGTGTGTAGTATTTGCTTCTCCCTCCCAGGTTGTGGTAGTCAGTAAAGTCCATTAATGGTTTTGTATTATCGCTCAACTTTACGTGGAATATATCGTGAATTGGTAATCAGTAATTTACAGGCAACCAAATCACGATATATTCCACATAAAGTTGATCGATGTTACAAAACCATTCATTGACCTTACTCACTACCATAACCATTACCATTAATGTTCTCAAACCATAAGTTAAAAGGTTCTAATATAGTTCTCTTTCCGAAAATTTATGGAGAAAACAAAAATTTTGAATGGTAATGGTTCTTAACAACCCATTATTTGTAAGGTCTAGAGTCGGTGTATAATGAGTCACGCCAAGAGAAAAACAGTTGAACTCGCATCACGGTTTTCGAAAGATTCCATTTCTTTTCACTTGGCAACAGAGGACTGCTACATCAACTTCAAATGACTTCCAGCGAGCAAAAAAAAATAGCGGCTGTTGTAAATCATTATATCAGTGATTTTGTCCAATCATCTCAACAAAAAATAGTAGAAATTCTCATTAATGATCGCTACCAAACGTATTCCATGACAATTTAATGATCACTGCGTGTTTATGATCATTTGTTCGATTATATTTTATATTTTATTGCAATACCTTTCGTGGACCTTTCATAGCATCGTAATGTTTGTTTACTTTGCACGATAGGTAGCCGGTTTGACAGTTCAATTGGTAGACTTGGCTTCACTCTTGGCGTGACTCATTATACACCGACTCTAGTAAGGTCCACTTCCATAATACATAAGGTTCAAACTTTATCATTAAACGTTGATGTAAAGTTCCATAACCATTTCAGTTGAAGTTTAGCAGGGATTATAAACAGTTTTTAACCATTTTCGATAAGGTCAATTAATGGTTCACGATTATGCGGGATTGTATCTAAAAAGTATAAAATATCATTTTAGCATCCAATGATTCCATAAATTCGAAAAACATTTTTTATAGCGAAGTGAGTGGAAGTAACCCTGGTTTGTGATCAGATGCCCTCCAGGAGGTCCACCGGGCCACCTTCAACGGCATGAATCGTACGCTGAGTGGTCAACACCTTAAAGAGAAACGAAAAAAAAAAATTCCACTCGACGGCAATCGGGGTCCTGGCACCAACACCGTTTTTGACCATACATCTAGACACAGACCTTCCAATCGTGGCGGTCAGACTCGAACACCCATTCCCGAGTTCAGTTGTTTCGGAAAGATACACACACTTAAACAACACCTCAGCGATCTGCTTCAAGACCTCGAACGACCCATTCTGGTACTTGGAGATATGAACGGCCATCATCCAGCATGCCATCAAATGGGAAACGGACATGTCGCGGAATGGCCATCCGGGAAGATGGTACCAACAATCAGGGTTGCTTCCACTCACTTGCTATAAAAAATGATTTTCTGAATTTTGAAATCATTCGATGTTATAATGATATTTTGTACTTGTTAGATACAAGAAGCGGATGAGAGGCAATTGTTTGACTCATAAAACCTGTCAATTTCGCTACCAGAGTGTTACAATAAGCGATTTTATGATTCGTGAGCGTTCACTCAGAGTGAGCGCTCACGAGTCGTAAAATTGCTGATTGTGACTATCTGAAAGCGAACTTGACAGGTTTAATGTGTCAAACACTTGCCTTTCAACCTCTTCTTGTATCTAACAATTACAAAATATGATTATAACATCTAATGATTCCAAAATTCAGAAAATCATGTTTTTATAGCAAGTGAGTGGAAGCAAGCCTGCCAACAATCAATACGATTTTAAATTGGCTCACTACGTGACTAGCCTATTGGTCCCGAACAAATCGATTAACGTACCCCATTCTAGTCGGAACTCTAGTACTACACTAAAGGGTGATACGGTCAAAATTTGGTCAATATCAACTTGACGTATTTCTTTCAATTTTGCATTTAAAAAACCTGAACACCCCTCATTTTGAAGGTGTGTCTGTGTAGAATGTTGCTCCTATTTTCATTTTGGAATTCACTCTTCAGTTGTCAAAATGCCGTCCAAGCAAGAAGAGCAGCGTATCAAAATTTTGCTCGCGCATCGCGAAAATCCGAGCTACTCGCACGCAAAGTTGGCAAAATCGCTAAAAGTTGCCAAATCAACCGTTACAAATGTAATTAAAGTGTTTGGGGAACGTTTGTCGACAGCCAGGAAGTCTGGATCGGGGGGAAATCGAAAACCGGAAGCCGCTGAGACGACAAAGAGAGTTGCCGGTAGTTTCAAGCGAAACCCTAACCTCTCTCTCCGAGATGCCGCAAATAAGCTGGGTGTATCGTCTACAACCGTGCATCGAGCCAAAAAACGAGCCGGACTATCGACTTACAAGAAGGTAGTGACTCCAAATCGCGATGATAAACAAAATACGACGGCCAAAGCGCGATCCCGGAGGCTGTACACGACGATGCTGACGAAGTTTGACTGCGTGGTAATGGACGAGTAAAAACCTACGTCAAAGCCGACTACAAGCAGCTTCCGGGACATGAGTTTTATACGGCAAAAGGAAGGGGAAAGGTAGCAGATGTTTTCAAGCACATGAAACTGTCAAAGTTCGCAAAGAAATATCTGGTTTGGCAAGCCATCTGTACCTGTGGCTTGAAAAGCAGCATTTTCATAGCTTCCGGGACTGTCAACCAAGAAATTTACGTGAAAGAGTGTTTGAATAAACGTCTGCTGCCTTTCCTGAAGAAACACGGTTGTTCCGTACTGTTTTGGCCGGATTTGGCATCTTGCCATTACGGTAAAAAGGCCATGGAGTGGTACGCCGCCAACAACGTGCAGGTGGTTCCCAAGGACAAGAACCCTCCCAACACGCCAGAGCTCCGCCCAATTGAGAAATACTGGGCTATTGTCAAGCGGAACCTAAAGAAGACCAAAAAAACTGCTAAGGGCGAGCAGCAGTTCAAGGCAAACTGGCTTTCTGCGGCGAAGAAGGTGGACAAGGTGGCTGTACAAAATCTGATGGCAGGGGTCAAGCGTAAGGCCCGGCAATTCGGATTTGGAAAAGCGGAAGCCTAACTGAATATTTTTCCTGAATTTTATACTAATTGAACTTGAAAAAGAAATTTAATTTGATTTTTTAAATAAACGATTTCACCGATTTCCACGCGTTTTCCCTTGACCAAATTTTGACCGTATCACCCTTTATGTTAATTTTGATTAGCTATGAAAGTTTGAAAGATAAAATGAGGGGTTCGTGTATTTTCCAATGTTTCGAGGGATGCATCGATTAGCTTGGGACCGAAGCTGAGCCAAAAAGTTGAGCTCGTTTCTTCGGGACCTTCTGGTCTTAGAGTTACCTCTATGATGGTACCACCACTAGAGACCCTGATAAGATCGCCCACGCTATGGGGGAATATTTTGCCGCTCTCTCGGCCATTGATGGGTACGATGATCGCTTTCGTCGAGTAAAAAACCTTTCGACGCACTCTTTGGACAGCATCTACATCTTAGAAGATAAACTCGGAGGCTACCGGGAAATCGACTGGCCTAGATGACGTCGGGTACCCCATACTAAAAAACCTATCACCGGAATGCTAGACCACACTCCTCAGACTTCCCTAATAAACAAATACAATAAACGAACTGTATCCCGGATAGGTAAACTATCCCACAAATACCCCGAACAAGTCGTTAAGCTCTATTTTATGGTCATTTTTAGTAGGGTTCTCAATAAAGAATGGCTGAAAAATTCCATTCCAGAAGACTGGACACAGCCTAGTCGTCCCGATCTCAGAGCAATATTTAAAAGTAATAAACGAAGTTCCAAAGAGCGATCCGTCCCTTCGACGAGGTATATGTTGTATCCGAGGCTGCGGGCACAACTTCTATTCGTTATAGGTCGGGTTACACAGCGAAGTTGTGTAAACACACATTTCTACAAAATTAACTTTCAAAATTGTGGTTTAGAGACGATGCTCGCCTTGCCCCATATGATCATCTTACCCCGCTTTCGCCTACCCCGTCTGACGGTATGCAATATTATATAATGTGCAGGGATTTTTCGGAAAGTAATAACATTCGGTTCCTAAAAAATATTAGGTATATATTTCACTTGAACAGCTGTTATACATACTGATAATCAACTGCGATTCTTCATTTATAGATTTCCTTCTCAAATTCATATTATACTTTGAAAATGTATGAGTGTTGTAATGTATAAGTAAAACTTACTTTTTTAAACTTTTATTTGAATTGTTTCATGAACATTTTCATCTATCGCTTTTTTAAGTACAAGTTTGTGGCGAATTGTTCTTTTGCCAGCATTTACCTTTTTCAGATTTTATTTGGTATGTGTATAAAAAGGCCAACAATTTACTCGTGTATGCACTTTTAATGACGGCATTTGCCTTTAAATTAGAATCAAATTAGATCATCTTTTTAACATTTGTAAATGTCCCGGACACCGGAAGATGTTGTTTTTTGTTTATTATTTCAGTGGTATTTGATCTTTATTACAAACATCTGTTAAAGTCTGCACTGTAGGTACTAGGAATGTTCTATTGCCATAAGGTTCTGTTATCTGTTATTGGGTATACTAGTACTATTAACTACACATTTTTGTATAGAAAGGCGTGATTAAGATAACTGATCAACCCTCGTTATTCAATTGTATTTGATGTTGAATTGCTATTGTGTGTTTTTTTTTCATTGGGTAAAGGTTGATCTGAAGGCTAGGTATGTTAATGAATTTTAAGATTTTATCCATCGTCCAATGCTAAAAGGCACTAGTGTCTAAGTAATACATGGTTTTGTGTTTTTTTAAATTTTGATGCGTATTTAACTGATTGAGCACTTTTGGAAATAGATATGATACCAACGATTTACAATGAGAATAACAAATAAAACATTTTCATAATGATAAGTACTCTATTCTCGTAACAATCGAGAAGTAGGCGCATTCGTTTAAGTACAGAAATACATCAAGATTCAGTAGAAGCGATAAGAAATACGTGTAAAATGTGTATACACATAGTTTACAGAAAAATAATACCAACCAAGCATATTAGCACAGGGTAAGGTTATCCCTAACAAATAGGTAGAAGATACTAAAAAGCATAACAAATAATGGTCTGGTGGGCCACAAAATTCACCCAAATGCATATACTGTATTTTCTTAATGGATAATATAAACTTGTTTCACATAATCGTGTGCAAAAATATAACGAACGGAATGATCTGTGGAATACTGTTTGCTATAAATTGATACAAATAACCTAAAAAGACATCTAAATATTGGAGGCATAATCATCGCACAATAGTGCACTCTCTTCAAAATTTTACCGACGATTATTAAGGACAATAATTTACACATTCTCGTGGAGGCTGTTGTGGGAAGGCATCTAGAAGGTGAAGGGTAGTGCTAACTAACTATAAATCATCATCTCAGAACTTGTTCACTCGCATTCACTACGTGCACTGCCTCACAAGTGGAGGACCCCATCTTTTTGCGTAATTAAAGCATTCTCTTCAAGAGTGGCGGCACCGGTAAGATCTCGAATTTCATCCTGATCATCCTGATCATTTTCTTCTGACCCAGTTGTGTGGTGTGATTGATGTGAACCACCGGAAAGTTGACTATTGCGGGAAAATGATCCACGCCTCGGAGGAGCCAACGTTCTTTGGTTAGCAGGTTTTACCGTGATAATAAGATTTGAACTATTCGCAACCATCATGTCGGTAACCTGATCCAGGGTTTTTCCATTCACTTCAATACCATTAACCTCGAGTACTTCGTCATTCACTGCTAGCAGTCCTGTGCTTTCTGCCAGGCCACCTGGGACTAAACGAGAAATGAAAATTCCTGGCTGTTTCTCCAGACCGTTTGCAGTAACGCGCACTGATGTACCGTCCCTGAATCAATTTTAAAAGATAATTGAGTAACTATTTACTGCGTTACTTGTATATAGTCTTACCGGATATAGAAACCAAGCGGTTTATCACTGCCATGCTTTAGCAGGCGAACACGTCTGCAAGTCTCCGGTACAATATCAACGTCAATAATGGCGGAAACCTTAAAGTATTAATAGCATGCTTTATATTTGGTAAGGCTTCCTTGAATGCAGTATCTTACTTGTCGGAAATCGTGTGGGTTAGAAATAGCTAAGCTTTTTGATTTCACCGGTGTTTGTCCGAGGATACTGCTTATAAGGTTCCGAGGTCTAATTGTGCCGTATCCTGTAATCTCTTCTATACTGTCTCCTGTAAATGATACAAACGAATAAAAAATAAACGCATTTTAAGTGTAAGTGTTGATGTATTCTTCTTCATTATTATTATAGATGATATAGGGTTTTTGTTCCTAATGTCGGTCTAAGGTGATACTCTAAGGAAGTCTTAGCATAAAACTTCAAGAGCACACATGTCAGCTTCCACAAAACATACAAATACGAAATTGTTAATCCTTGCTTGCTGCACTACAAAAAACATAGAATGGCAATTAAATCATTGTATGATCAAATGTTTAGCTATTATACTTACAACACGAAATTGCCTCACGAAAATAAGCCCCAGCATTACCTAGATTTTAACTGGTATGTAAACATGCACATTGCAATGCCACCATATTGTGTACCCATTATGAGTAAGGCACTCATTTATTTTTTTCATATGTGAAAATTACTTAAGGTTTACGTGAAATGCACATCAAATTCGTGTATGTGCAAATCACATGCGTTTCATTAAAAATCCTAGAGACTTTAAAGGGGCTTCCCGGTGATACACGTGGTATCACGTAAACTCTACTTATGTCACGTAAATTTGACATAAAAGTGAAAAGAGAGGCTCCACGTGATTTTTCACGTAACAATAACGTGTCAATTATGTTGAGTGTATTGCCGCGGATACATTTGTATGACCTACACTCAAAATAATCGACACGCTATTGTTACGTGAAAAATCACGTGGAGTCTCTCTTTTCACTTTTATGTCAAATTTACGTGACTCAAGTAGAGTCTACGTGATACCACATACGTATCAACGGGAAGTCCCTTTAAAGTCACTAGGTTTTTTAATGAAACGTACGTGATCGGTCATGGTCATGGGCCAGCCAAACGTGTTACTTTTCCATTGTTAAGAATTGTCATATTGAAGCTGACGCAGAGGTCATATATCAAAGTAGAATGGTTGTCAGTTCCCCCAGCCTGTACCGTGGGAATTCAAATCTCCCATAATCAACCGTGGAGCAGGAAGTACCGAATAGATATCTGAAAGTTGTTTTCGGTTAACAACGGCTCTAGGAGGAATATAAACAGAAACAATACAAAGGCTCTTACCTTTAATAATAGCCTGACATGCGGCAACTTCAATACCTGGAAATTGAGGAAGATTCACTCTATAGAAGTAATGGCACTTTTTGATCCCCAAAAGTAGCCCTCCTCCACGCGAATCCTCACGATCCAGCCGAATAATGTTAAAATCATAAAAAGGATGATCAATATCTGAAGAGAGCCAAGTTCCACAAAGAGCAAATACATCACAATCATTATTGTGAACTAAAAACTTAAAAGAGTCTAATTTAGGTATAAGACTTCGACAATTCCACTGTATAACATTGATCAAATCCCCGACCTCGTTTGGAAAATTATCCATCAAAAGAAATGATTACTGCAAGGAGGGGCCACTTCAATGTCAATTGCTTCAAGAGGGTCTTCACAGTAGGAAGCATTGCCAGAACAATGCTTTTCAGAGGATCAGAAATATCGAGGTACTTGAGGATTTCGTCTACAATGCCATCAAATAAGAACAGTCCCGATGAAGAAGGGGCTTCTGTTCTTAAACCTGGGGTATCGGGGGTTTTCGATGTCCCCGGAAGAGGTGGAAAATCCTGGTTATAGTCAGTTCCGAGGGGCGATCAACTTCATAAATCCGCTGAATTGAATATTCGAAAAATACACAAAAAAAATTGTAAATGTGTACACGTTGAATCTAAAATACCCCAATAAAAATGCTAAAAATACTCAAAAATACTTTGTCCACGAAAAAAAAAATTAATAATGAATTGGATACACTTTAATACAAAAATACACAAAACTTAAAAATACATAAATACGAAAAAAAATATAAAATACATTTTTTCAAGTCGGGTACATGATTCGAAAATACTCAAGTTGACAGCCCCTCGGTCAGCTCTGCAGAACCCAGGAGGAGTAGAAGTCTCCTTTTTTCCACCACTCCTTGATTTGTGCAAGCTGACTTGAGGTTCTTGTTTTGCAACTCTCCGCGAACGGATGCATTTTCGTTTCCGTGCAGAACCTTCCGGAAAACTGAAAGAAGTTCCCTCCTCAGCCAAGTCAGAGTCAGTCTCGTCATCTGACAAAAGAGAAAATGGATTTTTGTCGTTGGTCGATGGCGTGGCTGTCTTAAGTATTTTTGCAAAAGACTGCCGTGAACGTTCCTTAACTGAGCGTTGTAATTTCTTCCCGCGTTGTTTGTACACCGGGCACGACGAGAGACCACGAGGAGTTCCCTTACAGTACACGCATTTTGTGCACTGACTGGCAGGTGCCATCCTCGTGCTTCTCCCCCCGTTTGTAACAGCGTGCCTTGCTGCCACAGTGAGAGGATGTATGTCCCAACTGCTTACAGTTTTGGCAGTTCATGACCCGGGGAACGAACAAGCGCACAGGTAGTTGAAGTTTTCCCAGCTCGATGTAGTGAGGAAAGGCTGAACCAGAAAAGTTCACCCGAAACGAGTTTGTGTGGGTTAAACTCTTTTTACCCTCGCAGACAGATACTAAGCCCAGTTTGTGGACATCCAGTATGTTCATCGGGGGAAGCAAAGGGTTCTTGAAACGGCCAACCGCCTGCTTCTCCAAGATCTTGGGGGTCAGACTCGCTTCGGTGACCACACCTTCGATCTCCACATCACGAGTTGGGATGTAAACTCTATACTCGAGCGTGAAGAGCTGGGAGGCAGCAATCTCGTTAGCCTGCTTCAGGTTAGAGACGGAGACACGAAGTTTATTGCGCCTAACCTTCGTGATTTCAGTCACGGCCGAGTATCGCTTCGTCAGATCATTAGTAATTTGTATTACATTCAAAGGTTTGTTTGTCGAGTCATCTGGATAGGCTCGCGATCGGAGGTTTTTCTGAGGCTGTCCTTTGCCAGACTAAGACGACAAACCAGGGATGGCATCATCTGTCTTCTGAGATGACGTATGTTTTCGATCCTTCTTGCCATCGCGTGGCATAGTGGTGTCATCTTCCGACAAGCTTATATTGAATCCCGAGCAAGGCCGGGAACACTCAGCTAGTGGTAGATAAATTCTTTAGAAAGCATCTTTTGTAATTTTTCAAGATTCTAACCTTTTAACAAACTCTTTCTGAACTATGTATGAACTCAATGGGGATTTACGTAGATCCGCACTTTGACAATAACAAAGAAATCATACAGATTTTTGTCAACCAGATAGATTAAAAAAAATTGCTATGAAAATACAGATTGAAATTTGAAAAAAAAATGTGGCAACACTGCCTTGATTAGTGTTGCCGAGACAGCTATTTCAGGTGAACAACAAATCGTTTGTGGCAGACAAACAAATCTAATCTCTGGCTTGATTTCTCCATGAGAGACAACATTTATGAATTCTCTATGAGAGACAAATAAATTTTATGTATTCACATCATCAATAGTATTGTCAATACTTGTAAGCATTGACAATATTTCTTAACGTATGGGGTTCGCTTCTGATAACAAATTTTCTAAATCAACCTCTTCTGCAGGTTAACCTACGTTGCACGCACGACAAACGAACTGCCCGGCACACTCAAGGCGGACCGACCTGCTCTACCGCTACCGGCGAACTTTCAACAATCTTATGCTATGAGCAGCTATAGAGCTTTTGACGTTTAATCGGCCAGTTAAATCGAATGAGTGCAAGCAAGAGGGAAACAGATTAGTCGGAAAACAAACCGTCCATTCATCCAGGTATGCTTGATAGAGAAAGACGATTAAACGTTAAAAGGAATATTAGGTATCTTATCTGTGCACCCTTGCACCACTTGTGTTGACGACGTGGACATTGTTGGAAGGACGTTTCTGGCGGTTGCTGAGCAGTACACCAGCCTGAAACATGAAGGTTGGATTAAAGGTGAATACGTCGTAGACTAATCACCTGTTGGCTGGAGGAACCGAGCGCGATAGAGCTCGCATAGGCAGATAATTGATAATTGACGAGATGAGTTCGAGGTGGTGGATGAATTGGTATACCTCGGATCATTGGTGACGTCGGATAACAACTCCACAGAAATTCGGAGATGCATTATTTCTGGAAGTCTTGCTTACTACGGATTTCACAAGACCTTGAGGTCTGGTAAACTTCTCCCCCGTATTAAGTGTACCGTGTACAACACGCTGATAATACCGGTGGATCTTTGCGGGTACGGAACGTGGATAATACTCGAGGAGGACCTCCAAGCACTAAGAGTTTTCGAACGACGTGTGCTTAGGAGTATGTGAAAACGGTGTATGGAGAAGAATAGTGTACCAAGAGCAAGCGCAACTCTATGACGAATCCAGTAGCCAGAAAGTTACCAAAGCTGGAGAGGTACAATGGGCGGAACACGTTATAAGAATGCCGAACAACAATCCCGCAAAGCTTATAATATTCATGTTTTTAAGAAGTCACCTGCATTTTCAGGTAAAATTTACGTTTGTCATAGGTTCAGTGTAGATACTGCGACATGCACTAAACAAAGGACACGGGTATATCACTAAAGATATTATGCGTTGGTCGCTGTAACCATGACCCGAACAAAAAAGGTAAGAGGTTGTATCCAAGACACGACCGTTGATTTGACGTAGGATTACGAAAGGTAGTTTTGATGTCAGCAAAAGTATAGTACACAGCAAAAAAAAGTTGTTGAGTATTACATCGAAACTGCTGCAACCAGGTCAATCCATCGGTTGTGTAATATCACATTGTACGATGTACATCGATTTTGCGAACAAAATTACATCCATTGATGTAATATTGTATCTGCTTTTTGCTATTACATCGTTATTTCATACATCAGCTTGAATTACGTTGATCGATATTATTTTTTTTTTGCTGTGTATATATTAGATTGATTTCTTAACTCGTTATCAGTGAAAAAGTTCGATAGTTTGAAATTCGGCACAATTTGAGAGTTCTGTTTGTGAGATGCTCTGTCGATTTCCATGTAGTACAAGCCAATCCTGGACGATTTGTCTTGGATACAAGCTCTTACTCTTTAGTTAACTCTTTTATCAGTCATTTGTGGTCCTGAAAAGGACCGATGGATGGAAGCTTGGAAGCCAGTTTAGAACAATGCTGTGGAAATTTGTCCTCGATGTTCTTTTAGATGATAGCGGTGCGGAAAGAAAAATTGTATTAGAGAAAACACATCAATCACAGAATCTGAGCCTACCGGACGGTACCTACGTTTATGCTTTTTGATGCAAATTTTAGCCTCTTCTATATGAAGAGAATTCGGCAAGTGCTTATAATTTGCAACAAAAGGCATAAAGATAGGTACGGTCTGGCATGCTCAGTGCTTGGAATCAATATTCGGCGACTGTGTTAGTGAAACCACTTTCACCTTCTTGGAAACGCCTCGTTTTCTGATGTTAAAATTACGCATTTTCGTGCACAAACGCACAGAACTTTTGGTTTATTCAATAGATAATAAAAAAAGCAATAATTGATTGTAGGAATTTCTTGCTCAATTTTCGTTCATATAAATTCGAGATTTTTTTGCTTTTTATAGCGTCCGTGATCGAATCAGCACCGTTCAGGGAGACAGGATCGAATTCGATTTTGAAATCTGTGCTAGGGAATGCGCTGTTTGCAGACAATCGGTGATAATTTTGATCACTATTGCAACAGTTGTACATTTGTGTAATTTTCAATAGTTATAAAGTGTCCGTTATAAAGTGTGATTCGTAGCAAAATTTCAAATCGATTGGCTTGTTTAGAATTAAAATCCATCCGCTATTGACAGAGTTATATGTGGTCAAAACCTGACCACTTTTCGTAATGCGGTCAATTGGGGTATTTTTGAAATTGCACCCCCAATATGTTGCCGAAAGACCTAATCCTACGTCAAAAGATGGGAATACGATAAGTGATACATAATTAATTCCCGATGGTTTTTCATTGCTAGAATCCCGTTTGGAATAATAGTCGTTTTTCATAACAGTTGTTTGGAATAATGGTCGTTTGGCATAATACCGTAAAAAGGGTTATTTTAGTATCGTACATACGAAAAATATTTATTAGATGTCATTTCCCGAAATGTGATGCTTCCCGTAAAGTTATCTGCCAATCCCCGGAATGATACATTTACCTGAATTTATTTTCCCCAAATGAGCCATTCACCGGAGTTTCATTTATTATTTATTATTTTAATTAAAATATTCAAAGATGTATACATTTTCTTCTTAATAAAAATATTTAAAGATAAATATATTCCCTTCTATAGTAAAATAGAACATTTTCTCTTTATTATTACCTACTACTTAAGGATGGAAATATTCCATTGTTTATCAAAATATTGGATTTGGTATGTTACGAAAAATTGTTTTTCAAAAAACGGTATATTTTGGAAAATTTAATTTCGGTAAATGGACCATTTTAAGAAAATATTTTTGATAAAATTCAGTTTATTACTATACTCGAGTTAATCTCAAATGTCGCACAGTATATATTTGAAATGTCGCAGTTACGGATTTTCAAAATAATTATGGGTTTTTTTCAAAAAAAAAAAAAGTCCACTGACCGCTTAGCAGCTTCAAGTACAATTTTCAAGTATTATGCCAAATGGTATTATGTCAAACGGGATAGACCCGATAGAACGCTCATGTTTCAAATAAATAGAAGTTTGATAGTAAAATTTGGCTGAACATTGAACAAAATTTTATTTTTGTGTACCACGAGATTTCGATAATTTTGAATATATTATAAGGTAGTCGACATTCTGGGTGCACATTCTTTTTCGCTGGAAAAACTGATCATCAATCAACCATCCAGACGTAGTCGATTGACCAAATACGTACAAACAAAGAACGGTTTGTCTGTCGCGCAACTCCAGCATAATAAACTTTGTTCCTATTGGCCTTAGCTTTCCGCGAGTGATTCACTGTTTGAATATGTAAGTACCCATACATGATTGCTATATACAGTCGATCGTAACAAAATTAATTATTGTTCTCGGTGACGTTTAATTGAGGACACGGGAAGCATTGATGATTATGTACCTACCTATATTTTAAGTGCTGCGCGACTGGCAAATGCGGATATTTATCTCTGTGGAGGATAGGTAAGAATCAAAAGAGCTTACCTTTACGTTGAATGATAACGCGGAGTAGCGGTCGGGCGGTTGTTAATGCTCTGCCAAAGTTGTCATCATTATTTATTGGTAGCAAATCGTTATCACGCGGATCAATATAAGACACCAGCAGCTGAGAACGTTCTAGTTTGTGCAATCTTTCAATCAGCGACTGGAATGCATCAAAATTGTGTTGCTCAGAACGTTTCAGTGACCACCGTCGGAATTCTGCATCAAACTACGAGGGAAACAACATATTCAACAAATTGTATCGCGGAATAGACTACCATAGAATCATTTACCTTTGACTTTATCTCGATGTGATCACTTTCGAGTTTGGAACTCGCAATTTTGTTTTTCGACATTGTTCAATTCATCGACGAAAATTCCGCGGACAAAATGGGACAGACAGAAGCGCTGCACTGAATGCACTGCAAACAAGAGCTTTTTCACTTATTTAATTTTTCCTATTTACTTTTTCCACTATCCGAACACTGATATTTTCCTTCTTCTGGCTATTATTTCCGTTGCGCACTCTTTTTTCACTCTAATACCACTGTTGCTGATGATATCTATTCCGACGGTGGAGTTATGAAAGGAGCGGAACGACAGTATGAGAAGAGAAACTACTCCGGAAATTTTTCCTTTTTCAATTGCGATCTTTCTTGGCTCGTTCCGGATCAACCGAAAATTTGCGCTCCGGCTTCAACATAGATAGTCCCGAAGTGGTAACTGTTTTTGCACTCACTTTTCGGTAAATTTAGAGCAATTTGATACAACATAGATACGAAGAATTAACTAAATTTTTGCAATGATAAAAATTAAAAAAAAATGTTAGACGTTTCGCCACGGACGGACACTCAACTTATGACGGCTTCAAGTTTATGACGTTCACGATGAGAGGGATGCACTTGCAGCTGTCAAAATGGGAGAAACAGGAGAAACATGAGTGCACTCACGAAACGGGCGAAACGGTAAACCGTTTTAAGATTGGGAGATTTTGGAACATGTGAATCGATTCTTTTGATTTATGAGGAGTTTACTACACCTGTGCGGATCTGGGATCTGCTAGCGCTAGTGTACTATCTAACCAACACGCATTTCAGTTGCTCCTGAAATCTCATGCTGGTATACTCTGATGCCCTGTTTACATTATGGCTACTTTTTTGCACAAATTCTAGATTGAGCTGAAATTAGGGCGTAACAGCTTTTGTAAACAATGACTTCTCGCGTAACATTTGAAAAGGGCCTATGTCCAAAATGTAAACAATCCAGAAAATGAATTGTAAATTTTTCCGCCAGTATTTAATTCCTATATAAATAAATTGAAGTATTTTAGGCATTTATATTGTTCACAATAACAATAGTAACTATATCTCAGTACACAACATCCAAAACATGCGAAACGTTTTCAAAAATACATGAAAATCGATAAAAATTTAATATCACAGTAATAAGCCTTTTTGTGAATCTTTAAATGGTTAGGCCCTTTTTGTTAAGGCGTTGTGCTTGTCATCATAAATTGTAGGCCTTTGCTAAGCCTTTTCTTAACGTCAAATAAATCATCGGCCCTGCCTCAAGCAGTACCCGCATAAACGCGAACCATAAATTGACCTTACCTAAAATGGTTAAAAATTGTTTATAATCCCTGCTAAACTTTAACTGAAATGGTTATGGAACTTTACATGAACGTTTAATGATAAAGTTTCAACCTTATGTATAATAGTTTTTTGGAACTGGACCTTACAAATAATGGGTTGTTAAGAACCATTACCATTCTAAATTCTTGTTTTCTCCATACATTTTCAGAAAGAGAACTATATAAGAACGTTCTTACTTATGATTTGAGAACATTAATGGTAATGGTTATGGTAGTCAGTAAGGTCCATTAATGGTTTTGTATTATCGCTCAACTTTACGTGGAAGATATCGTGAATTGGTAATCAGTAAATTACAGGCAACCAATTCGCGATATATTCCACATAAAGTTGATCGATGTTACAAAACCATTCGTGGACCTTACTGACTACCATAACCATTACCATTAAAGTTCTCAAACCATAAGTTAAAAGGTTCTAATATAGTTCTCTTTCCGATAATGTAAGGAGAAAACAAGAATTTGGAACGGTAATGGTTCTTAACAACCCATTATTTGTAAGGTCCAGTTCCAAAAAACCATAATACATAAGGTTGAAACTTTATCATTAAACGTTCATGTAAAGTTCCATAACCATTTCAGTTAAAGTTTAGCAGGGATTATAAACAATTTTTAAACATTTTAGGTAAGGTCAATTTATGGTTCGCGTTTATGCGGGTAGGGCCTAGCTTTGATTTGAAATTTTTCAATCATCGGCCCTTCTACGTCGCTAGGCTTATGAATGGAACCTCATCGAACGAAAAAAATATATGTTAGGCCCGAGGTTAGGCCGTTTTAGCATGAATGATTGGAAAAATTTCGTGGATCGGCCGTTTTTAAAATCAAGTTATTTTTAATGATTTTTATCGATATTGCGGAACATTCCTATACGACTGGTAGCTAATTACCAGTGCTACAGAATGGTATCAAAAATCGGGTTGTTTACATTTCGATCATAGGCCCTATTCAAATGTTACGCGAGACTTCTTACGATGATTTCTAGAAAGCTAATTGACGAGTGCACGGATGAATTTGAGTTCACTCACTTGACAAAAAGTGACACAACAGCGGGGCCCTGTTTACTAAAAATGAACTCATATGTGTTCATTTTTAGTAAACAGGGCCCCGCTGTTGTGTCACTTTTTGTCGAGTGAGTGAACTCAAATCCATCCGTGCACTCGTCAATAGCGAATTCGTTTATTATTCAGTTCCAACCTGGATCGGGTATCAAGATTGGGTCTGCTTGTTTTCTGGCAAACGTCAGTTTGCTCGTTTGTTTTTAAAACCTAGCTCAGGTTGAGGTTCACACTGACAAAAAGTTCGGTTTCGCACTGGGTTGGTGTTAACCCCGGTAATAAACGAATTCGCTATAAGGCTCGCCAACGCAAATCAACAACACCATCGGGCTTTTTGACGTTTAATCGGCGCACACTACTGCACAATTGAAATCGAACGAGTGCGAGCAAGTGGGAAACAGATTAGTGGGAAAACAAACCGTTCATTTATCCATGTGTGCTAGATAGAGAAAGACGATTAAACTTCAAAAAGGTCTATAGGGGACTTCCCCTACCCGACGATTATGTTGGTGTGCGTACACATAACCAGTGGAAAATACTCGGGAAAATATTAATGTGACACGCAGAAAAAACACTGAGGCGTAAATTAACAAAATATTTTGTTATTATTTGATACAAAATTTCTATTTTTTCAGTTCTCTATAAAGATTCAAATGAATGTAGAATAAAATTGTTTAAAACTGTTTTTATTGTTTTAACTAAATATTTTTTTAAGTGAACGTTTCAAACTGTCAGCCTCGACATCGTTGCTATTTATAGTTTAAAAGTTCCTTATTATTATGGAATAATTTATGTTATACCGTTTAACAGTGTAGTACGCATCTCTCCTTAATCCATCTCTTTTTCGTGCCTCTTTCGGCAGCCATTTTCCTTTTAACACTGTATAAAAACCATAAAAACTTCGAGCAATAAAGACGCGTGTGTTATAACTAGCGAGTTATTTTGTCTTTATCCGAAACATCCGGTTGTCCCAATAGGTTATGGGCCCAGAACCGGTTCCGTGTTGCGTCGCGAAAGTGATATAGGTGTTGATTGTGTAGGAAACGAGAAGTTAAGCGTGTTTGTACTGCATAATGGCGGATTCCATGCAAGACGAAATTCGCCGAGTCGCCATGTTTGATGGCCACAGCTTCGTCTCGTGGAAATTTCGAATGCTGACCTTGTTAGAGGAACATGACTTGGTCGAGTGTATCGAGGTCGAAATTAACGACGTAGAGGAGTTAAAAGTGGAAGAGGCGGATTCGGTTCAAGTGCAGCAGCAGAAGCAAAATGCTCTCGTGAAACGTCAGAAGAAAGATAAAAAGTGCAAATCTATCATCGTGTCTCGAATTCACGATGACCAGTTAGAGTTGCTTCACGGGAAGAGCTCCGCGAAACAGATGTGGGATACATTAGTGCGAATTTTCGAGAGGAAAAGTGTTGCAAAACGCATGCAATTGAATCGCGAGCTATTCGAACTACGCTACTCGGGTGGTCCGTTACAGGATTATTTTGTGAAATACGATCGGCTCATTCGTTTGTTTCGGAATGCTGGTGGAAAAATTGACGATATCGACGTCGTGTGTCGTTTGCTTTTGTCACTGGGTTATGAACGCGAGCTGACTAGCCGAAATAGAAGTTGGCTGTTCAAGAAGAGTTGGATTCGCTGCAGAAAAATGGAACATGGACCCTATGCGAACTTCCGGAGGGGCGGCAGGCGATAACATGCAAATGGATATTTCGCATCAAGCCCGGCAATGATGGACAACCAGATCGATTTAAAGCAAGGTTAGTAGCTAGAGGGTTTTGCCAGAAGAAAGGGTTTGACTTCACGGAGACATATTCGCCAGTCGCTAAATTGGACACCTTACGTGTTATGTTAGCAGTTGCCAACCAAGAGCGAATAGCAGTCCATCAAATGGACGTGAGGACGGCATTCCTGAATGGTGACCTTTCAGAGGAAATATTCATGACTCAGCCGGAGGGTATGCATCAAGAAAACGGATTGGTCTGCAGGTTAAATAAATCGCTTTACGGTCTAAAGCAGGCTTCCAATGACAAGTTTCATGACTTTGTGACGCAATTGGGATTTCGACGATCTAAGAGCGATCAGTGCTTATATGTACGTGGCACTGGAAACAGGAAGATATTTCTAATTCTATATGTGGATGAAATTCTTGTCATTGGGCAAAATTCAAGTGAGATCGAAGCAGTTAAAACGAGCCTTGCCAGGGGTTTCGACATGACGGATGGAGGAGAAATTACTAGTTTTCTTGGAATGAAGGTTGAACGAAACTTGCAACGTCACTCAATGAGAATAAGTCAACGAAGATACCTGGAATCTTTACTCGATCGTTTTAACATGGCCGATTGTAAGGCAAGCTCTGTGCCGATGGAGTGTCGCCTTCGTTTGGAGAAGGATATCGAAGAAAACCGTACCAGTAAACCATACAGAGAATTAATTGGCTGTCTCATGTATGTAACCCTAACTACTCGTCCGGATTTATCGGCAGCTGTAAATTACTACAGCCAATTCCAATCCTGTCCAACAGATACGCATTGGACACATCTAAAACGTATTTTGCGCTATATAAAGGGAACCCTTGATCTAGGATTTCAATACGAGGGACGAAGTGATACCAATAGTGATACTCATTTGATAGCAGCTTTCTGTGACGCTGACTGGGCGAACGATATCAGTGAGAGACGGTCAATTACAGGATATCTTTTCAAAGTATTTGATTGCACAGTGATTTGGACAACACGTAAGCAACGTGCAGTATCTTTATCTTCCACTGAAGCCGAGTTGTGCGCTCTTTGTGAAGCAACCTGTGATGGAGTATGGTTGATGCGCTTACTCGTAGATATTGGCTACAAGATCGAAACGCCGATACCGTATCATGAGGACAATCAGTCCACAATAAGGTTCAGCAAGGGATTATTCAAGAACCTCGTGATCGTAGCAGCTTGCGAGATTCCATAAATTAAGGAGGGGTATTATGGAATAATTTATGTTATACCGTTTAACAGTGTAGTACACGGAACCAAATTTTGTTCATTTAAGTTAAAAATATATATGTTTATTAAATAAAAATATGAATAGTTCAAAGTAAATTACAAACATGTTTTCAACAAAAATATGTATGTTTA